CGGCGGAGGTGCGCTTCCCTCCTCTCTTCGCCTGCAAGGCAGCAAAATCTGGAAGAAAAATCCCTCGTTTGTGGTGACTGCAACTCCCAGCCCAGACCCGCTCGGAGAAATGGAAATTCGCGACTATAAACATGTGCGTGTGTGTAAACAAAAGGTGTTTCTTCTGTTACCCTTCGTTTCCCACAGCATAAGCAATTTTTATTCAGACTACAGTATTTTCTTTAACACTATACCGCTGTCAAAACATTATTCCCGTTTTGGTTGCTTTTGACAGCTGAGCAGTTCTTAAAAATACCAAAATCGGAACCTTCCACGCTAAACAGTAAATCTCAGATGGAGAAATCTCTGCACATTATTGTACCTTGGATTTCAGCAACACATCTCACGGAGAGCACAGCCCAAAAGGGGGGGAAAGAAAGAAAATAAGAGACAACACAGCAATGCAAATATTTAGTTAATTACAAAAAACCAATAATCTGCTATGGAAAAATTCTTCCCTGTCCTTCTATCGGTACAAAGACCTTTTCTGACATTTCTCCTCAAATCGTAAAAAAAAAAAAAGATCTGCCAGGAAATAAAGTACTGATTTAAAAAAAAAAAAAAAAAAAAAAAATTAACACCCCCCCTCCATTTTAAAGTGCTAACACAAACAATCTTGCCTTCATATTTTCCGTATCCACAATAATCAGAGAATTTGGAAATGGGAACCCAAGGTGTACTTTTCTTATGTGACCGAAGAGTTGATGTGATTTTAACCAGGACACAGAGCATCAAAGCCAGGTGGGGAATTATCATCCTCTGAATTTCATATGAATGACTTAAAAAGATGCCCATAAAGCAGGACCCAATTGCTAAATAAATCCTCACACCCATTCTACTGGCATCCTCCCTTCTGTCTCCAGCAGTGTGGGTCCAGATACTCAGCTCAGAAATCAAACATTAACTAAGAGGCCGAGCCTCTTTCCACATTCCAAACGTAAATGTTGCCAGTCAAAGTTTTGAACACCACTCCGGCCAGCTGGAATGACGAGGAGGGAAGGAGGAGAAGGGTTACAAATTTACAGATATTGAAGTCGGTAACGTTTGTTTCCTAGAAAGTTAAGGTAATTACAAGCCCTTTCCCACTCCCCTCCTCCCAGAAATAAAGCCAGAGCTTTCCCCTGCTCTTCGGGCCCCATCCCGCTCTCACTGGTTTAACTGTGCCACCGAGGGCGGTCAACAGCGGCTGTTCCTGACAATGCTGATGTCCTCCTGGTTCAAACTCTCCTTTAGCTGCTTCAAAATGCCACAAGCTCTTGATGAAGTAAAATCAAACCCTCACCCACGACTGCGCACCAGCTATTTATATACAAAATGTCAAATGAACATTTTCCCTCATTAATTGATGGTATTTTTTTTCCCCCTTCCTTCTGAAAACAACTGAAGAGAAGCAGTAAAACCCTCTCAAAAGCTAGATTATGCAATCCTCACACAGGTAAAACTCTCATTAAACTCAAAGCTGCTTTTCTCATCCTAAAACTTCCGAACCTACTCCTGCATTACAGCCACTCTTCACCTCTGAGCTCAACAGCTGGAGCTATGCTCTGCGGTCGTTATGGATGCACGTACACATACACTTAACATGCACGGGCTTACTGGTCTCGTATCTGGGCCTTCAAGACTCAAACTCAGCTTCCATGTCATTAGCAGATAGTACAGATATTAGACACATCTCTCTGGAATGCAAGCTGGCAAGACAGTATATCAAATTTTGTTTAATCTGGCATAAATATAATATCGAAAATCAGCAGAAATATATAACCTCAGATGTTCTTTCATTCAATTATTCTGTTAATGCTGATGACAAGTTTGTTTCTGATTTTTCCAACCTTTCTTCTCGATGCTGATTAAGAAATGTATTTGAGACATCTCCGGACAACTTCAGTCTCTCCTAAGAATGATTAAAAACACAAAAGCCTAACAAAAAATCAAAAATGAAATATTTATTACCGCATTTTGTGACTTAACACCTTTTTTTTCTTTTTAAAACATAACGTCACAGTCCTCATACAAGTATTTTAATGTAAATTTTGACAAAGCTTAAAGGTAACAGCATTTTCTTCTAGTGAGGAACACGTGCTGAGAAAGGAAGAATTCATGGACATACAATACCAATTCCACAGCAGATCTGATACTAGCAAAAACATTCTTTTTTTTTTTTCAATTGAGGTAAACACATAGAATATCTAACATGAAACAATTAATAGACCGAACTCTGTACGAAGTTTGTTACAGTATTCTCTTGCTTTTTTTTCCCCAAGCTTTGAGTTCATGATAAAGTCCTAGGTTTGGTGCAAAGACCGTTAGTAGCTTCTTTCATTGAGGAAAGCTGCCCAACTTTTAGTTTTGTTTTGTCCAAAGCCAGGGCTCAGAACTACTGGAAGAAGCTCTTGCTCTGTCTGTTCTCTTTTAAATCTTCACCTGCAAGCTCTCTGAAGAAGAGTCCAAAAAAAAAAACCAAAACGATTGGGGAGGAATGGGGAGAGCCTTAATGAAGCACAAACTATAAAGATCTGTTTGAAACTAAAGGACACATTTTATGAAGGAACAAAACGAGGGAATGGCAAGGCCTTCTTGGAACAGTCTTCTGAGTGATGAGAGACCCAGCAAGACTTTTCGTCTTCATCTCCAGGGTAGTTCTTTTCTCACTG